ATTATAGTTTCCGTCCAAAAAACCCCCATTACTTATAGTGAAAACCACCCTTGAATGACGGGATGGTAGACTAAAAGCTTTAGGAATCCAAACTATAACATATATTAAGTACCCTGTATTAAGATTGATGCAAAACAAGTGACATTTGACCTTTTTAGAGAGGTTTAGAAAAAAAAACCCACCTCTGGGGTCATTTGGGTGTATTTGCCATAGCTCTGGAACCCATTGGTCGATTTTGATGATTGACACCTCTTTTTTAACCGTTAGAGCCAATAGAATCGAGAGGGAAGTTCCTAAATCCATCTAAACATTACCATTGGTGAATGAGAGTGATGCGCAGCCAGCATGCCCAAAACCGGAAGCTGGGTTACAGCTCTCATACACTCAGTTTATTGACATAAATATGATGATGGATTATCAGTAATCATTTCAAAGTGACACAGAGACATTGGATTAACCTTCAGCAGCGTTTATATGCGTTTTAATGCCCTTGAACACAACTTTTGATCAGAAAGCAGCAAAGGTAAGTCGCATTTGCCGTTTTGGCTCCGTAACGTGAAGTTGTGTGTTGTCTTTGCTGGCTTCCACTGCCGCGAGTTCTGGTCTCACAGTGATGATACTTATACCATTGGAATCTGTGGAATCTCAGCTTTCATATGATATCTAGTTTGTGCAGATCCGATGAAGTATAACATATTTCTACCGTGAGTTATGTGCTAAGTGCGTTAGCACTCTTTTGCTTAGTGCTATTTCAGAGGCTCGTCGTTAGACTTGTGTTTTGTTTCGGTAAAAATGGTTCATATCGTCAGGTAGCTGAGTTTATTCCCGTTAAGTGGGTATGACACATTCATAGTTTGTTAAATGTTAAGAAGCCCTCAGACGCTGTTTCTTGCAAGATGTTGCGGGAGCCCCCGCCCCCCACAAAAATGTGACGGCTCTGTTTGAGTATAATACCCAACACAGTCTCACGGCATTTCGTGTTATAGTCACGAAATTAATCTATTGATTCGTGTTCACCAACACGATTTCGCCATTTTTTTCGTGTCACACAGAACGATTTTTAAAAGCAATGTAAATAATAACAAATTAGAAGGAAAAACAGATTTTTAAAAATACAGATTTCAGTATTCTGACACAGAACGATTTTAGAAGCAATGTATTTATATTGGTAGTGTGTTTCGTGCCTGCACCAAATAATTACAAATTAGAAGGAAAAAAAGATGACAAAAAATACAGATTTCAGTATTCTGAGGCTCTGAGCCCCATTTATTTTCCTCGCGGACGGCAAAAAAAACTCCGACATTATACAATTTAAAATAAAAGGGATAGGGTTAGGCTTAAGGTAAGATATTGAGTAAGAAAATGTGTTTATGAACCACACAGCTTCTGGTCTTCCAAGACCCGACCGGACAAAAAGACGTGGTGCAGGCACGAAACATACTACCAATAGAAATACATTGCTTTTAAAATCGTTCTGTGTGACACGAAAAAAATGCGAAAATCGTGTTGGTGAACACGAATCAATAGATTAAATTAATTTCGTGACTATAACACAAAATACCGTGAGACTGGGTTGTAATACCACACGTACAGTAGCCAGTAGTATTATCAGGGTTCGAGATAAATGCCTTCCTGTTGGAGTCCGTTGGTGATTCCCTTAAAATGCTACATAGTGAATGACAACTTTATGTTGACATTGTCAGGAGGAGAGCTAGTTAACTAGCCTAGAGCTAGCTGTAAGCCTATGATGAGTAATGGCGCGTTTCCACTACACGGCCTCGCTCGGTATGGCTAGGCCTCGTTAGGACTGGCTCACTTTATGGCGCATTTCCATTACAGTTTAGGAACTGGGGTAGTATCTATAGTAACGCAGTGTAGGCGGAGCCGTGACGTGATCTTCAGAGGACCCCAGAAAAACAACACAGCCGTTAGCTGTGAGCCCTCAGAGCTCACAGCTCCTCATATATGTTCAGAAACTAGACAAAAGTTAAACAAGTACAAACCACAGACTGCCTGTGTCATGGTGAATACAGTCGCTGCTTTATTTATGTCTGTATAGGCCGTTGTTGTGAGTGTGGACGGTCGGAGCATATACTGCGTTAGCTTAGCCAATCTCCATTTAGAAAACAAGCATTTTAAAAGGTTTTTTCCCCTGCCGTCTGTCTGCAGACTTGACAAAGCATTAATTCATGGTTTTTACTAACCGGTATCAGTATGTTGTTACTTCGGCATCATTTTGAAACGTGTATTACAATTAAATCACGGTCAAATATGTCCATCTTGTTGTAGTTGTAGCCCCCTTGCCAGCGATGCTCTCTCTAGTTTAGCATACTCAGCCCGACTCAGCCTCGTTGTCTCTGGCCCTAGACTCACGATTTTATGAGGCCAGAAAAACTGTGAATTAGGACCCGCCGGCCGGTACTAGGCCAAGTGGAAACGCAACCAAAGACGGGCCGCTGACGTCACAGCCCTCTTAAACCGTGCTCCGCGCTGTAGTGGAAACGCGCCATTACACAGTCGTGCTTGAGTAAATAACTGAGCTATCAGCTAACGTAACCGGAGCGAGGTTATATTGATTTGCATAAAGCATTCATTCATATGTACTGAGAAAAGGTACATTCATAATAATATCTTCAATCTTTTCAAATTTTATTTTTGGCGAGAAACTATAAAAATAACAGTTATTTAAAGGAAATCATTTCCCAGCAATATAAAATAGTTATGAGACAGGGAATTATGACCTGAGTTCTTAATTGAAAGCAAGACATGACTTCCACGCCTTCTCAGCATGCCAAGCCTGTCATATGATATCACAAATTACTGTCGTTCTGCTTCATTCCTGTCTATCCATGTCTACACTTCATCTCTCTTCATCCCCCATCACTCCCTCCCTCCTTCCCTCCCTCCCACCGTGTGCCAGGGCTATAATGTGCTCCTATGGTTGTAGTAAGCAGGCCACAGTGTCTCTGAGGCCTTGTGCTACACCACCATTACTATCTGGCTTGCCTCCACTACAAATTGGATGAACAGGCACTGACACATTTTCAATATTATTACATTAAACCAAGTGGATTTTGATTGATAACCTAATATTGGCCTAATGCAAAACATCAATCATGGCAAGTATATTAATTATTTAATATTGTGGCGTAATTCAGAAATCGATGCTGCCTCTGCGTTGAAGGCACAGAGAGCGGAGGGAGGGAGGGAGATAAGAAGAAAAGGAAGGCTTTATCCCTGAAGACCTCAGCAGATTATATGATGTTTTGAAAAGAGAGATGAGGATGTAAAATGGTGTGTGTACGCGCGTGTGTGTGTGTGTGTCAGCTTTGTGCGTCTAATGGATAGAGGCCCCAGTGCACACTGCGCTGGACAGTTTGCCCTTGATACAGTCAAGACAACAGATGACAAAGTGCTATATTAAATGCAAGTGAAGAGCTTAATAAAGGTTGGATCAAAAAAATTAAAAAACGGGGAAAAAACAAACAGTTATACAAACGTAAACAGGGGGGAAAAAGCGGAGGGAAAGGAGTGAAGGAGGCAGGATCGAGCGCTGCGTCTCCCCTGTGTTAGATTGTTTCTCACTAATTGCGCTTCATTAGCGGATTACACACACTGTCACCACGGTAACAAATGTCTTGCTGTCTGGTTGCCGGGCGCCCGTCATGTATAATGAATGTGGCGGGGTGTTTGTCAGAATGTAATGTAATTACGGCTAGATGAAGTTTGCCTTAAGTGGTTGACTTGTCTGCATGTGGCTCACTGACAGAGCTCAGAGTAAACAAGCAAACATCCTTTCTTCAAGACTTCTTCTCTGGTTGTTTCTTACTTTTGATAATAGCATTTCAGTCTTTCCTTTATCCCGTTGTTTGGAAATGTTGATGATGTGGCCCGAGGTTTGTGGTCCTACTGGGTTTGGGACCTGGCCTGATGGATGGACGGATGGAGGAAGGGGGGTGGGGGGGGCAGGATGGATTAGACAGTATGTAATTTTAGAGATGGTGTAGATTTACACTCTGATGCTGCCGGCTGCATTAGCAACTGAAGCCTGTCGATAAGCCTTTCTCCCTCTCAGCACACACACACACAGACACAAACACACACACACACACAGTGGATCGCCATGGCTGGGGTGGAGTTGTCAGTAATGGGGGCCAGAGTTGGATGGGGGGTGCTGGGATCGGGGACGGGGCTGTTTGTGTTCTCTTGATCTGTTGATTTTCACTGCTGCAAATGTGCCAAAATCGCATCTATTATTTACTGCCAATTTGCTCTTTTTAAAACCGACTGCTCCCCCCCCCCCCCCTCCTCTTTCACCTCCTCAGCTCGCCATTCTGCTTAGCTACACTGGTAATCATACGCACATTTTTTTATTAATTCACTGATAATAAGCCCCGAGGTTTTTTTCTCTGTACTTTGAAATTATTATATTGACTGCCAACAGTGAGGCAGAAATGTTGGCCAACCTCTGCCCGGTGTGGACACAAACGCACACAGCACTTCAGTATGAAAAGGCAACAATTAGAATTATTCTAATTAGAGAACTTATCAAGATCAATTTCTTGGAACACCACTTCACTCCTGCACATAACTGAACATAAATACAATATATCAAAAATATTCAGTATTTCTCAATCTATAAAAATGAAACTTAATATTTCTGGACGGTCAGACACCTCACCATCTCAGGCTCTGTAAACTTGTGTAAGGCATTTTTCTTTTGGGCATTGCTGATATTTACTACGGATATTAATTTATAATAGAAATCATTTTAAGTTGCCTCCCCCCCAAAATTCTCTCTGTTAGATTAAATGTGTTAAAAGTATACATACATTGATTCAGAATTTTTAATTTGAAGTGGGTTCTGCCGTCTCTCTCATATTTATTTATGTGTATTTTTCAGTGGATGTGTGATTGTTTGCAAAAAAATGACTTTCGTTAAACTATGTTTTGTGTCCTCACTTTTCTTACATTTGGGGAAATGTGTTGTTGTGTTACAGGGAGGCTGCTAACATCAAAGCAAGATTAGAACATCTGGTAAGTTCCAATCAACATCCCCCCTTTTTACCCCCCCCTCCCTATACACACACACACACACACACACACACACACACACACACACACACACACACACACACACACACACACACCGACACATACTTTGATATCTGCATTCATAATGAAATCTCTGGAATTGGAGCTGAATACCTGCAGCTAACAGGCAGGGAGGGAAGGACAGAGAAAACATTGAAAACAAGGGTAGAGGGAGGGTAGTGTGTCCCCCCCTAGGGCCTGGTCCATCTTTTTTCGAACGTTTCATTTATCCCAAATTCTTTCCAAACACACGCATCGACCAGACACAGGTTATCCACCCTCATTTCTGCATTTAGTTGTGGATATGTGCAGGTTTTTTTTGCAATTGTGCATCCCTGTTTGCACATTGATGTATGAAAGTACTTTCTACCTTTCAGGCTCTCTGTACTTCTCCATCAGTACAGGCCCTTTCCTCACTCTTCTCCCGTCCATGAATCGAGGGCCTGCTGGAAACGCTCTCTCGGGACAGCACTGAAAATTTAATAGCCAACGTTTCCAGCGTTTCTCTTGCTACCCTCTTTAATACGGGGTCAGAGTGCCGTGCAACAAAGTGAAAAGGTTCTCTCTCCTCTTTTTGGGTGGGAAGGAACCGAGGTCTGACGTGCCCCATATTCCAGGGGATGAATTATAGACAGGGGTCAGCGAGGGTCCCGGCTCTCTGTGGATGTCACATGCCCTCCCTCCCTTTCCTCCCTGCATACTAAACCTGCAGCTCCCAGCACCTTACGCAAATGACCCCCCCCCCGCCCCACCACGAGCTACGCAAATGACCCTGAATATGCCACACAAATGACTGACCCCGAAATTCAAACAGTCCTCAGTAACTCTCCACATGAGCGCGGATCAGACAAAGTTGACCTACGATTTCAACGTCATCATCAGGGAGTGTTCGTTAATGTAATTATTGACTAAAATAAAAAGAAACTCAGATTGATGTGGGAATAGACTTCAGAGTGGTGTAAATTAGCCTGTATTTTACACCCTGTTCACATCAAAACTGCCCTTAATTGCTCCTAAAGTGAATAAATGCTGCTCTGACACGTACAATCATACAGTTAGTAAGTATTTATCTTAATAATTGTGTTGAAGTTAAAATATATATTCAACAAACAGGCTACTGTCTGGACCAGTGCCTGCCTCCTTTACTAAGACGCCGCTCCCTACTTCTTTGTCCCACTGTGGGGATTTTTGAGGGCACTATATGGTGCATAGATTTCTCACTCAGAGTTCAGACACTTAAATAAAATGACAGACATTAAATATAGTGCACGATATAGTAATGGTCTAGTTTGGCTTTGGCGATGTCTGGAGGTGAGATTGATGTGGTACTCCATAAAAGGGGTTGTGAATTATTCAAGAGAGGATTACATGCATAAACAGCATTAATCAATATGTGTATTGGCAGTTACATCTTGGCAAACATTAGGTAGTGTGGGCCTCATGTTGAGAAGAGACTTCCTGTTAAAGGGAAGTGGAATGTGAACTAATTTACATTTGGACATGAGGGGTACGCCGAGCAGAGCAGAAGTGTCGTGTCAGGTCCTGTCTGGGATTTGTATTGAATATGGGTAAATATTATGCTTTAATTTTTTTATTGGCAGGGTTGAATTGAGTCATTCTTTGTGTAATTATTATAAAGTGGACCTTTTTAATATCAGAAGTTTGCATCCAATTCCTAATCTCTATCGGGATCAGCTCAGAGTTCAACATTTCACATGTACACACACAGACACACACACAAACACACGTTGGTATGTTTACCAGTGCATTTATATAAGTCTTTGGGTATTTGAATACCTGAATACTGAGTGTTTGAATTTATGGGTGTGTTTATGCTTATGGGGAGATTGCACCCCAGTAGTCGGCTGCCTGGGTAGTGTAAGACTCTGATTATGATTCGGGACAGAAAACAGTAAATAATGGAGCTCGTCTCCCTCTGAGGAGGCTGTTCCAAATGCTGTTCCCACCCATACCTCACACATACATCCCTGTAGGTTTCTAAACAGGCATTTATGACTTTCTGTTGATGTATTGCTTTTAAGATTAAGGCATCAACCATATTGACACTTATCATGGTGTTGCAAAGCTCAAGTCATATTATCCTTTCAAGCAGCTTCCTTGGACCTGAATTGTTTTTTTAGAAACAATTTCCTTCCCAATATGAATGTTACTAATTTGCATTTTTCCGAAAACTGTTCCGTTGTTTACACATAACAAAAACAATATCTGTAACATCTTCCAGCTTCTATTCAAATAATTCTGGCGCTTGATTTTCCATGATGAATACTAACAATGCCTCCTCCTGTTAAACTTAACAGTTTGAGTGAATGACTGGTGCCGTAATTAGGTGGGCAATTAAGATGTATGTGGTCTGAGGTTTGTTTTATTGTTCATGTTTGTTTTGTTTTCGTATTCCAGCAGATTGACTGAACACGATCAGTAGCGATTCAGAGAAAAAGACTGAAGTTAATTGCTCCCAGTGCTCTGCGTTAGTTTCTGCTTTTGTACAAACGCAAAAACACACACACACACACACACACACACACACACACACACACACACACACACACACACACACACACACACACACACAGAGAGACGAGTTGGACTAGTCTTTGCTCTGGGAGAAATGGAGCGATAGTGAAAGAGGTGGCCTACAGCAGCTAATCAGTCCAGATGCACAGCTTCTCAAAGCGAAGTAGAAGAAAGCCAGCAGCTCAATCAATACATGAGGAATCCGCCTCATCAGGATTACTGGCTCAATCAGCAGCTGTACCCATCGTTCTACCACACACACTGCCCGGGGAAGCATAGAAGAAGAGAGGCAGAACAAGCCAGGGAGAGAGAGAGAGAGGTCCTGGGATGGGTATTTAAATAGAACATGTTAGTGTAGAGCAGAAACAGCTGGTTCACAGGTCACTCCAGGTTGAGTTTAGGTCACGATTCACAGAAAGCTGACATGACATGTGAAGTCATAGGAGAATTTGGGTTATGTGTTAATAGGACATAAAAGGCCCTTTTTTTTTTTAAAACAAAATAAAATATGGTTTCCAATTTCAAATTCAGGTTGTAATTTAGGCACATATTTAACCACTTGTAAAAACATTTTTTAAAGGGAAATGCTATAGTTCCCAGAATGAAGTACAGTCGATATATTGCCAGTTCAGTATGCATAATTCATTTTTCTTATATCGAATAAAGTAATAGAGGTATTTTGTAACAGCCTTGAAGTGTATGTATGCCTGTATGCATCATTCATGGCATAAATTGATCCCTTAAGTCTTACCAGTGCAGTTATCCATCATTTCCCCTGCCTATAGGTCTCTTACCTATAGTTTACTCAATCAGCTGAATTACTGTATCTGGCTCTTTGTTGAATCTGCTGTCGGATTAATTGTTAATTTAATTTCTGTGCGATTTTGGCACTAAGTTTGTCAATAATTAAAAACATTGATGCTTAAACAGCTTTTAAACTTTTCCTCAAGACAGTTAATTATTATTAAAATAGCTTAACTTGATGTCATTGTCATAGGGAAAGTAACATTTTACTTGTTCAGTAAAGAAATGATATAGTATCAAAAATATATTGTTAAAGTGTCATCCAAAATGTATTCCTTCAGAGGAGCTCTGCATCACAAGAAAGTGTTATCTGGAGAAGGTGGAGTAGAACGAGGGGTCACCAGACTGCTGTACTCATGGCTCTCCTCAGGGACGGCTGATGTCGCCCCGGTGTCCCTTGGCGAGTTGAAGAGTTTACGGAGGCAAATAGCATGTTGGCTTACTGACAGATCGGCAACAGCAGCTGGAGTCAGAACAACTCACTCACCAAGAATGTGACAAACCCGGCCTCTCTGAATACTGCAGTGGGTCGACTTTGAGCCGTCTTAGTGTGAAATACAAAAAGTTAATAGGAGTTCACGGCTCAGAATGATATATTATTGCTTCTTTTATTTATTTAGCGTTTTTAATTATGTCGTTAAATGCTTTCTCTTTATCTCTCGTTGTATCGCTTTCTCTTTCTTTGTATTTTTCGTCTCTGTCTGTCTTTCTCCCTCTCTAATATGATTGTATAGGATAAAGAGGTGAAAACAGCCAAGAGAAAGATTCTGTGCAGATAAAGGAGGGGGAAAGGGAGGTGGGGGTTTGATAATCTGCAAACAGATTTCCATGCTTATTACACTAATGATTTCATGATATTTGATGTGGCGGCGGGGGTTGGGAGGATGTGGGGGGGGGGTCTCTCTCCTCTCTTTCTCTCTCTCTCTCTCTCTCTCTCTCTCTCTCTCTCTCTCTCTCTCTCTCTTCCTCTCTCTCTCTCCTCTCTCTTCTCTCTCTCTCTCCTCTCTCTCTCCTCTCTCTCTCTCTCTCTCTCTCTCTCTCTCTCATCTCCACGCTGCCGCTAAATGATGGAGTAATTTGAGTGACCTCTGACTCGGGGCAGGCCCAGACGTAATTGCATGTCATTCTGGCTCGGAAGGAGGGGAAAAGGAGGGGGGGGGGGGTTCCACAAAATACAAAGTATCCCCCCTGTTTTTCCCTCCTTTCTCACATATCACCTGTTTTTCTGTCTCTTTTTCGCGTGTCCCCATCACCGTCTTTTCTCTCCATCTTGTCGCCTGTCACACCGCGGCTCGCTCCTTGAGTGTTTCCAAAAAAACAACCCCCCCCCCCCCCCCCCCCCCCCCCCCCCCCCCCCCCCCCACCAAACAAAAGAAAGATTGCATTAATTTTCAAATGATGATATTACATTAAGCGCAGAGATCTCATACATCAAAACGTGAGAACTACTCCCTTACTGTATGTGCTTCATCTTAATGGTATCGCTGGATGTCAAGGGCATGGAGGAAATTAAATCGGAAAGTGCAGATAGACCAAAGAAGATATTATCTCTGGATGATTGCAGTTTTGATAGGTATTCCAGTGAATTTCATTTTCTCCGGATG